TGCGGCGCATTAGCCACCACAAAGTGCTATAATACAGTGCTCCTTCCTTATTTGTGTAGTTCCAACCAGTGCAGCGCATTAGCCAACACAAAGTGCTATAATACAGTGCTCCTTCCTTATTTGTGTAGTTCCAGTGCGGTCCTTTTGCCAACACAAAGTGCTATAATACAGGGCTCGTTATTTGTGTAGTTCCAAGCAGTGTGATGAAACGCTTCCTTCCCGGCTTTTCTAGTCGCAAGGGCCAAGTGCTATCGCGAATACCTAAGAAAGGCAGGGGACTGAAGATGAACACATTGACAAGAAGGGAACATTCAACCAACGAGATGGTTATTGAAACACCCACAGATGCTTCAACCAGCTGTGAGATGGCAGAATCTTCTTCATCATTTCAAAAGACTCTACGTTCAGATCCTGATGTCCTTCCAAGTACCTCTGATCCTACTTGTTATGAAGAGGAGGGCGAGGAGGCGGACGTGTCAGAGGAATGGGAGGAAGACAATATGGAATCTGCTTCCACCACAGGAATTAGTGATCAAGAGGACTGCATGCTGCTGGAGGGCGAGCTACAGAAACAACCAACAATTATACTCCCTTCCACAAACACCGACAGTCCAAACACGAGCATGAGTACATCTGAAGTGCGTAGTAGGGGTAGGCCGAGATCGCTCCTATGGGATCATTACGATGTCCATAATCAGAGGACCACTTTGGCAGTTTGCAGGCATTGCGGTGTGAGCGTCAGCAGAGGAAAAGATATGAGGCATCTTGTCACAACAGGGCTAAGGATGCACATTAAGAGACACCACCCAAATGTGAAGTTGGACGCAGTTGAAGTCGGCAGCACATGCAGCAGTATACAGAGCACTCCAACCACACCAACAGGCCCCATGCAGAAAACCATCGATGCTTGGGGCATGCAAGTTACAAGGGTGAGATCTGGATTTAAGCCGCCATCAGTGAAGGAAATAACACGTCGCCTGGGAGAGATGATGGCTCTGGACCACCAGCCCT